TTAATTAAAAGACTACCTTTTAGTCACAGACCACCTAGACTGGCCGTATCTAATTCCAATGCACGGGTACCAGTGAATGCAAAATCCGGGGAAGTGGAGTGTGGAAGGCAATCTGAGCGCGCGCATCTTTAAGCAGATCCGGATTAAGTAATATTTTTATTACATATTAAACATTATATTGCATCTTATGACAAATATTCAATTTTAAGTTTGTAATTCAGAAAATAGTATATTTTAATGTCATATTAAATAAAACTACAAAATAATTTAAATATATTTATTGTCCTCTAAATAATATTAATTTATTTAATATTTGCCTTTTCGTAGATTTTACCGAATTAAATAATTTGACTTCATGATTTATTCGTACATCGATATACTTTTCACGTTCAGCCCTTACAAGTTCTATTAAATGATTACAATTGTTAGGCAAATTATCAAATTGACGTTAATGCAAATTTTCAAATATGTACGCATTCAGAAAGTTTTTTAATACATGATAAACAATTTTATTTTTCTGTAGCCTAGGTGTTTTGCTTTCATCATTATTAAAAATTTTTATTAATTTTTCAGTTTCTTGGCATATTACTACGACATCTCGAGATGGATACCTCAAACAACCACCATCTTTAATAAAAATTAATTGTACAGTCAATTTTTAAATACTGTGTATTTGACATTAAACTATTTACACAGTCTTCACATTTTATTGGCTTTATTAGAGAACTTGTTATTATTACGAAACCGCCAATATATACTAGAATGTACTTGCTAGTGTCCAGTTCTGTTTTTTAATAGCCTCCACCCATCTTCGTTTTATGTCAACATTCTTTGGAAATCTGTAAAAATATAAATATTAGGTTTGAAAAATCGAAGCGTACTTAATTATTTTTTTTTGTCACAAAACTCTGATTTTTTCTAATCACATTTTGCCAACTCTCCTTTTCCAGGGTGTTGAACATGAATTTGAAATTAGTTTTGTTTGCGATTTTTTCAATTGAAAAAAATATTTTATTAATTTTCAGCTATCTCGAAATGACGGGAATTGGTAAAATTTCATAAAAACTTGAGACTCACATAAAGTAAATAATTATTAAAAATATTGTACAGTAATTCATTCACTATTTTATAATAACAATATCACGTTAATCACTACATTATGGGGGCGAACAAAATTATAAAGCTAACCCTGGAAACTTGTGACGTCAACCGAAAAATGGCGTACATATTTACCTTTTATATATTCCTTTTTTTTTACTTACCTAAAGAAGGAAACTTTTCGCTTCTCTTCACCAACTCGATCTCTTGTATTTATACAATATTTTACAATACACTTGCCCATGATAACACGTCTAATTATCGAAATCACAGCGATGCGTACACGTCAAATGCTAGGACACGACTGAGTGCTGGGCTCCAAATCAGGCTCCGAAGTGTTTTCACCAAAGTCGCTCTATAAGCCAGTCTAGGTGGTCTGTGATTTTAGTCATCCGTGTCATTCTTTTCCGAAAGAATTTGTACTTAGGTTATATTTAAGGGTTAGAATTTATTATACGTTATAAACTATAGGTAAACCAAAATTTTAGGAATATTCAAAAAATAAACATATTAATGGAGAAATCTGTAATGATTATATTTTCAATACTATATATTATATTATTTTGTAGGTATGTTTTATAATATGTATAAGTATTAGTCCAGGCTGTATCGTTGCTCCCGCTAGGAACATGATTCTCATTCGATTTTTTTTTTTCATAATCTTAATAAAAAAATGCCCCTTGAATCATATCCGCATGTTGCCAGACATTACGAATGGTCAAAAATTGTTTAAACAAATTCGTAATTTTCGATTTTTTCGCTCGAAATACATTTTAATAGGCTTTTTGGGGTATCCTGAACAAAAAAGTTCATATGCAACTTTTCTCTAAAATCTACCGTTTTCGAGATATTAACGATTTTTTGTTCGAAAAAAACGCGATTTTAACCATTTTCTTCTCTAAGGATTACGTCAGTAAACAGGAGCTTACAACAAGGAATTTTAATTACTCTTCAAGTTTTCTTTTAATAATCCGTATTAACTCAAGTACAAAATCTATTACCTATCTAAAATACCCATTTTCTACTTTTAATGTCATACCACGTAATATTCTAATTCAAATTTCATATTATTAAAATTACCTACTACGGTACTGTCAGATAGATACTAAATACATATTTTATTTCAATAATAAAAATTCTTTTAATCCAGCCCCGACTATTCCGCTTAATCTGAGAGAGTTAGCAGGATTCCGTCTCGCTTGGTTCTCGACCGCCACATCAAAGGCGTCGACACGGACTCGTCCAGCTGTATATTTTTAGGTTTGTTCGTAGAGGCAGTTCAGAACTGGTTACCAACCGGTACTGCGCGCGCATCGGAAATCATGAATCCGTCTTGAATTATGTGCTCGCGAGCGGTAAAAAACATAAACAAACGGAAGATTCGAAAAGTTCGCGTATTTAGACATATTTAATAATGAATGGTAAGTATAAATAAATTAGTTATATAGGTTGGGACGCAAATGTTTTTTTGTACGTGAAAATGTTTTTTATTGCATATATTTTTAAAAATATATTTAATGGTTTCATTTATTAATTATTATACATCCCTGAATGAGCCACTCTCATGGCCAACAAACCACAAAAATATTACTACATAGCGAAATAGGGTTATTTTGCCAAATTCTCCCACCTGATACGTATATGAATGTTCAAATCTTTCCACAATATTGTTCATAACATCACGACTGACACGAAAATGTTAAAAAAAAAATCCCTCTTTGTATACGCTCGCACAGTTCCAACGTAATTCTGATTTCTTCTTTTTGGTTCCCTAATAAATTGTTGAAGATCTTCTTCACTATCTGATGTAGATAAGATTCCATTCTCAATCTCAAGAACATTGACATCCTCATTTGACGTAGACATTCTATAAAATAGAGCACAATAATCTATCGATTTATATTAAACCACCTAACTACGCTGAAATTTTAAATTTTCATAAACATGTACAATTCGCATGCGCGGAACTAAAAATTTACTAACTCCGTCGTGAATTTTAAGAACGGCTTGAAATCGGTNTTTACCTTTTATATATTCCTTTTCTTACTTACCTAAAGAAGGAAACTTTTAGCTTCTCTTCACCAACTCGATCACTTGTATTTATACAACGATTTACAATACACTACATGCGTACACGTCAAATGCTAGGACACGACTGAGCGCTGGGCTCCAAATCCAGCTCCGAAGTGTTTTCACCAAAGTCGCTCTATAAGCCAGTCTAGGTGTTCTATAGTTGGCACTATTGGCATTGGCAGCGCATCTACTTGTGGGTTGTGGTTGAGAATAGAGATGGGCGAAACATGACGATCCGGCTCTCCATACTGACACGAGAGACCGAAGTGACCCAGTTCCTTCGTTCCTTTCAGTTCTTTTTCAGTCATTCCACACGACGACAGTCGTCCCATGGCCGGCATGGCCCATACCATGCATGACGTGTTATCTCTTATGGACACAATTGTATCCTTTTTGATACAAAGAGAAAGAAAATCTCTAGTTCACAGTTGGAGAACTCCTCACAGAGGACGCTCTAATCTAAAATTTAGTGATGGGCAGAATCGAGTATTTTTAAGAATCGAGAACTCGGTTCTCGAATACGTTTAAGAATCGAATGATTATCCGAGACCGAGTCCGAGAACCGAGTACCGGACAGAAGACTTGACCCACCGAGACCGAATGAGTGTCCGAGAACACAGGACTCGAGAACAGCGGCAATGCAGAATCGGTGTATGTTGTCGACACGGTGTGGATTCGAATGCATCATCGGGATATTCTTATTTCGCGTAACTCAACGGAGCATTTTCCGTTATTAAATATTGTTTTTAGTTATTTTATTATTATTGAATTCTTATTTTTAAAATGAAGCCTGGCTACAAATCATTAGGTTGGGATTTTATTTTTAAAAAAGTAATAAATAAATAAGTAAAAAGTTTAAATTATTTGGCAATGCAACAAATCTTAAGAAACATTCAATTTTTGGCCTCTAAAGCACATCCGCCTAGTGTCTAGTCCTCATCATGAATTCGCAAGTATTCGAATGCTCGCTTAAAAGTTCTCGAGAACAACGGGAACTTTTAAGAATCGAATGCATACCGATTCTTGCATTCGAATTCTCCCATCACTAAAAATTATGTCATCTGGCCATCTCATTCTACCCACATGTTGTCAATTATATGCGTTAAGTGGTAACCTCCCGAGGATATTTATAATACCTAGGATTGCTCGATCCTTATCCCTTCAATCATGGAGACTAGATAAGGAGCACGAACTCATACGGGAAAATTGACAAAATTTGTCCAAGAAATGGCAGAAGTTGGGGTGGCGCTAGTGTTCCATATGACCCAAATGAATGTAGCTTCATAAATACGAGAGAAGTAAGCAAATAACCAATCTTATATTATTTATATCGAGTTTANGAGATGTGGTTTGTTTCACGGAGCATTTTCCGTTATTAAATATTAATGTTTTTAGTTATTTTATAATTATTGAATTTTTATTTTTAAAATGAAGCCTGGCTGCAAATCATTAGTTTGGGATTTTATTTTTAAAAAAGTAATAAATAAATAAGTAAAAAGTTTAAATTATTTGGCAATGCAACAAATCTTAAGAAACATTCAATTTTTGGCCTCTAAAGCACATCCGCCTAGTGTCTAGTCCTCATCATGAATTCGCAAGTATTCGAATGCTCGCTTAAAAGTTCTCGAGAACAACGAGAACTTTTAAGAATCGAATGCATACCGATTCTTGCATTCGAATTCTCCCATCACTAAAAATTATGTCATCTGGCCATCTCATTCTACCCACATGTTGTCAATTATATGCGTTAAGTGGTAACCTCCCGAGGATATTTATAATACCTAGGATTGCTCGATCCCTATACCTTCAATGTTGGCTGTTTTCCCACTCTTCCGTGACGTCATCGCGGACCTGGATGTGTATGAAGCTTGTGTATTCTTATGGAGCTTGTGCGTTCATTTAATAAATTTGTGTTATATCTTCTTTCTTAAACCTGTAGCATTAGTGTGTGTAAATTGTAGAACTTTTTTGAATCTTTGTGCACTATTTGTAGTAATAATAATATGGTAAGTTGTAAGAAACAAATATAATACATAGTGGTAACCTATGATCTTTCATAATAGATGCCGTGGCGCCGTTCTACTATGTATGGCTTTAATAACAGCCGTATTTCAACGAAAACGGATAATCCGGAAATAGTTTTCCATAATTTTCCCAAGGAAAAACATTTTGTATGCGACCGTATGCGACACTATTCGAAAACAATGGATTTAGACGTTGTAAGCGGACAGACTATTGGAATCCTAGTACCAGTCATATCTATTCCATTCATTTTGTTATTTGTTGAAAATGATTATGAACCTGATATGAGAAATGAATTATTAGGTAATAATTACATTATTTGTTCAATGTTCAGGTTGTCGTAAACAATTGCTGTATATTAATTTGTAGGTTTGCCTCCACGAAAACTTCTTAAAACAACTGCTGTGCCATAATTATTTCTTCCAAACAAACCACAGGATGTAACAAGTTTACGGACACAAAGATATAAAAAAATAGGAAATGGAAGAAGAGTTACAGAGAATTTAGGAAGAACCGATATATTGATGTATCGACAGCGTTTCAGATCACTGTGTACCTTTATGATTTCATATCAATTAATAATCATTCTTTTTATTTAGTGTGTAATATAATAAAATTATGTTGATAAAAATAAATTTAATTTTCAATAAGCAAAAATTAGTAGCACTGAAAGAAAATAAACTCGGTTCCATCTTATAAGAAGACAAACTAATACATTTTATTTATCAACACGTACAACTAATGTAATGTAATTTTAATATGATATCTAATCATTGTGGTATAACTACAGTACTGTTCGCTCATTAAAATCAATTGTATTAAATTTTTATCTCCTATATTTTTTTAATTGTATTTTCTGCTATAGAATAGAATAATATAAAAATATTTAGAGTAGAAGGCAAAAGTTCTATCCATACCACAAATCCGTAATAGTTATCTACTTATATTATTTTGTGTTGTGCGAAAAGATATGACGTTCACTGATGTCATACATCGATAATTTTTCAAAAATTGTCATTCCTAGACGTATACCTGAAATGTTATCAGCCGCCAGCGGTTACAAATATCAGCACTTTTTATAATGAAACTAGTTACTATTTTGTGAATGAAACTTGTTCAGGATATATTATTATTATTATTTTCATAAATGCACATTAAGAGCATACTCTTCTTTACAACACTAGTTTTAATCATTTGTATCGTTTTATTTTTATTTAAAAACAGTTACCTACTACTTACCACGTTTTTAAATATACCTACAATAGTTTAGAAAATATTAAATGTGCTTAGTTCTTTTAAAAATATAAATGGAATAAGTTACTAGTACACATTTAAATAATAATTTAAATTTGGATTAACTTTAAACTTATTTTTGAAAATATAACACAGTAAAATTAGTATTTCTATATAACCTCTGAGAGTGCAAATGAACCAGAATAATAATTTTCATATTTTAGTGGAAGTTTGAAACATTCATATTTATCTAAATTAAAAACTTGCAATATTAACTTTTTGCGATCTTTAAAATACTCGTATGTACATGCCTTTTGCTAATAAAAAAAATATAAATTTGTATAACTTGACTATAATTTTATTTACCGCGAGTCCCGTTGCAGATTATATAAAGTTTATATTTTAAGTAAAATTATTTTAAACCCCATATTAAATATAGAAAGTAAAGAAAACATCTTATAACAGAATGCGACTATGCAGATTCATCTGAAGTGGTCCGCGATGACGTCACAGCCCCCACTAACGTGGAGAAAATAGCTGCTTATCGAGCAATCCTATGTATTATAAATATCCTTGGTTACCTCCAATGTTGTTCGTTGTCATAGAAAATATAGTACTAATGTACTATATTTTCTATGTTCGTTGTTTTTCATGTTTGAGTTTGACAGAAATGACAGACATTATGCCTTTTGTGTGTGTGTGTCAATTGTGATTTATGTGTCGTTGATAATATATAAACTGAAACTTTAATAGTCAGTTTTAGTTTAGTGCTCTTCTGTTTTTCACAGGTAACATATTTACGCTGCAAAGTTTTCAAATTTCATATGCACACCCAGTTTAGTCAATGTAAAATGTAGAAAATGTATGTAGAATTGTAATTTAAAATGTCCAATGTTATGCTTTGTGTTGATTAATAATTATAAGCTTTTCTTTTCACTATTAACTACCCTAAATACTGAAAGGAATAAAGAATACTCTATTTTGAATTCATTAAACATAATTATATTTTATGCATTATAAACAGTTAATTATCTTAAATTAATACGAGAGATTAAAATAAATATATAACTGGAATTGATTGAATATCTAGGCGTTTTCTGAAACATTTGTATACATGATATCCATACATTTTAATAGTAAACTTTTATATAAAATTCGATAATGGTACAATTTTTATTGGGCATACCTGCTACAGAATGGTGAGATTTAGGAAGTGCCCTGTGAAAGGATATGAGGACACCCAGTCTACTTTCCTAATTCGAAAAAGGAAATGGGAAGGTTCCAGAAATGGGTAGAAGCTTGTGGCAATACAGCTTTAACAACCTTAACATCCGATCTTATATATCAATCATATAGGTTATGTCTCATTTACTTCAGAACTGAGAATAAATCCGCAATTATGTATCTGTAAAAACGAAGTAAGGTAGTCCCTATGCTGCACTGTAGTCCCTACGCTACACTTACCTTTCCCTGCACCACCAACTATTGATAGTTTAGAAGAAGTTACATACCAACATCCACTGTTACCCATAGTAAACAATTTAAAATTGTAATATGAAACTATTTGTTATATATAATTTATAATTTTCAGAAGTCATCGAAGATACATTACTTGAAGAGCAAGATGTGCCGTTACGTGTCTACAGCAAACAAACAAAGGTAGCCCATGATCAACCAAGTACTTCAGCAGCTGAAGTACCTAATTGAGGGACATGCTAGTACTGTATTTAGTGAAGATCGAGAAGTGATATGTACATCACCTGTAATGGATAAGCGTAAGTTGATTTGTTGTAATGAAGTCGAGACTGTCAATTCCACAAATTTGTCCATATGTATATAAAAATGTGCCAATCTGAAATTCAGGTATGTTCATGTAAGATAATTGTAATGTAATTGTCATAATGTAAGATGCGAGATCTTATTGTAATATATGCAGATATATAGGTATTATAATCTTTATAACCCAAATATTGTGGGAAGTATGCGTTATATTATTATTTTTATGTAATTGTTGTATACAAAGTACCTACTATAATATATATTCATTATATCGGTCAGCGATAAAATTAGATGATATTCTTGTTTACTTTAAGTTTCGTTATTGATTTTATGTAAGTTTCGTTTTGAAAGTTTGTTTATAACAAGATATAACTACTATAACAATAATACATGTTAATAATATATATTATCGTTTATGTTTACGATCACTTTAAAATCTTAATAAAGCAGCTAAATGAACATGCGCGAAGTTGTAAACAAAATCAAAATAGTCGACAATGACGGACAAATTTGAAAATATTTGAGATTTGAGCCACTAATTTGAAATCAAGATGTATACTATAAAATATGGTTACTTGTTAGGTGCGTACTTTTAGGAATTTTTGGAATCTCGATATATAACAGTTTATATGTTTACATAAGTGCCCTTATATCTATTTTAGATGTGTGTTAATTATAATATAATGTACTGGTTATCTACTTATAGTGTGTTTGTACTGTTTTTTTTTTACAATAACAATAAATAAGAAGTTATAAATTCTAATCGTCCCTTTTATTAACATTAAGGAAATTAGGACCTGCAAACAAGAATAATGTTTGTTTTAATAAATGTTATTTTTGTTTTTCAGGTTCTAATTTCTTATTGGATTTGGTAATTTACATAAAATTAAATAATTATTATTATTTCCGCTTATGGGTGGGGGGGGGTGTGTTTAGTTGGAGAACTTCTCACAGGTGGCGCTAAACGCATATATATTTTAATACATGGCAGATTCATACCTAAACTCTCTGTAATCTATGTCGAGTGGCGCTGTGGGCAGTGTTGCCAGATTATCGATTAATTATTGTCGCCACTTTAATGGGGAGAAATAGCCAACCTTCCCTTCCAACATTAAATCAATCATATGCAAATTATTGTTAAACAACAAATGCAGGAATGCAGCCCCATTATCTTCTGCCCGTTATTTAGGCTTTCTGTGAGAACTTGATTTGAGAACAGCTTTCTTCAAAATTAATTAATTTTGGCAAATAACACATATATAAAACAACTACTCAAAAGAAAACAAAAAATAGCTATGTTATAGGTTAAAATAAAATATGAATACTCCACAAAAATATGAAAAATAAATTTATGATAAATTAGGACATGGTAGATGCTCTAGTCATTTAAAGTTTGAATTATTTCTTCCACGTCCCCTACATTTTAAGTATCACACGTGGCAGTCTCTGTGTTGAATGTGTTTTTATAAATATCTGAAGTAATTTTTTTGAATATATCCATAGTTAGGGCAGAAATTAAAACAGCATTTCTCACTATTTCCAGAAAACACTATTTTTGTTAAAATTGGTTAAAATTATAATTTTTACTTTGTAGCCATGGTGTAGCTTGAGATTTTCATCATGTAGCCATTTTTTGTAGCCATGGCCAAATAAAAAAATGTGTAGCCAATGGAGATTTTAAATAGCCAGTTTGTCTACAAATAGCCCCATCTGGCAACACTGGCTGTCCTGTACTGCAGATAAAATAGGGTGTGACGGAACATTTTACTCTGGTGGTGCCATCCCGTATGAAGGTGGCAAACTACTCTTCGTTTTTCAATTTATGCCTATAAGTTTACCCGGACTGGTTATATTTTTAAGGCAAAGCCTACACGATGTTTCCTTAACATCAGTCATTTCTCTGCAACAATCTTCTTTTAAATATAAACAGAAAACAAAGACAAGATGCCGTGAGATTGGGAAAAGGAAATACACCAGGAACACTTTACTCTCCAACTAGTATGAAGCATAATAAATCCGTTCTCGAAAACATATTTTTCATTCATGCATTCAGCGGTTGCGATACCACCTCATGGAACGAGAACATGTCGATCCGGAGGATCTGACATCCACGGGAGAACGATTTCTCATTGCCCTATATTATGGTGAGAAGCACAGCAAAAACATCAATGCGCTACGATATCAACGCTACGCAAAATTTATCACCAGAAATAGATTCAACCTATCATCATCATCAATCATTATCACTCCCACCATCACTCCCACCAACAAGAAGCGTAGCACGACAAGACATACTCTGCACGTATCATCAGGTACAAACTTGGCTTGGGTTTTACAAGGATCCGGAGGAATGGGGCTGACAACGAACGGACCACGGTCTATTAATACGGATTATTAATACGGTTGAACCTGCGCCACCCGAGCTTTTGAAGCTGATGTCTTGCAAATGCAAGGAAAAATGCGGAAC